CTGAATCAAAATTTAAATATAGCGTCAATATTTCTGTTTTTTTTTAAGTATCTTTAAGCTTGTGAGTTGAAGAATAACACCATGAAAAACTTAACAACTCACATTAATAAAGTAAAAATATAAGATTACCAAAAGTTACATATAAATTTAAAAAAAACACAATCAAAAAGCATTTTGACAGTGTTTTAGATCAAATTTTGAAGTTTTAGCCGATAAAGAAAATACATAACTTAAGTATTTATGAGTTAATGATACTTGTAGTTTTAATGTTAATATCCATGAATTTTTCTGACATCTTAGTTGCATTCATGCATTGTTAAAAGGTTACTCATTTTCCCAAGTATAGAAGTTGTGATTTTTTTTTTTTAAAAATGTCTAGTTCGTTGAGAGAGCGCAGTTGTGAACAGCACATGTTAAAGAACTTCGGGAGGATGAGATAGTTCACTATTAGAAAACCTAACGAAAACACCAACCAACCAATAACAGAATGACAGACTGAATTGTACAAACAAAATTTAAAAAAAAACAAACAAACCATCCAACCTCTGGACAATGAGAGGATTACAAAGACAACCAAGAATGAGAGCAAAGCAGACAGCAGACAGCAGACAAATAACATAAAGCGATCGAACCAAACAGTTAATTAAAAAAGAATCATAAAGATAAGACGTCTGAAACGGAAAGAATGGGAAAAGACCATATTTAAGTTCAGGTGACATATGAAAGTCTTGATTCAAATGTGATTTAAATATAAGCAAAAGAATAGACGCATATCATTTGTATACACACACCACCATCTGCATAACCAACAACTTCGATGAATTTGCACAGAATTCCAAACTCTAACCCTAAACCACACCCACCTTCTAAAATCTCGAAATAATAGAATGAAAGTGGAAATTAAATTTCAAAAACCCTCATTTCCACATCACAACTAACCACTGCAACTATATATTTTGCAACCAGAAAAACGATAATAGTTTCTTATTTTATACGTGTATAAATCTCTTAGGAGAAATGGAGTTAAAATAATATAAATTAAATGAAAACTTGAACAAATATTTCAAACCAACGAAAGTTTTTTTTCACCCGCCAACACAGATTACATAGTAATGCATTAGCTAATTGTAACAATTGGGAAAAACCACTTAAACAACTCAAAAAATCAGTTTGGTCCAAAGCTATAACACAAATCCTAATTTGTTCTTTGCTGATGTTGCTAATTCTATGATCAAGATGGGGAATATTAGTCCTCTTACAGGTATAACCCAAAGTATGTAACGACCGGTGAGTGTGTGTGTGTATGTGTGTAGTGAAGCGTTCACTTGAGATGCTTAAGATAATATTCGAGCAAACTCTGGCCTCAAGGTTTTACTTACCTCAAACCTAGCCTTGATCTTCTCTTAATTCACTGTTTATTAACATGGCTAAAATCATTTTCATTTGCAAATGCAATATCATATTAAGTGTGCTGCTACGTCTACTCATATGTTCTATGTAGCATATGAATTCTACTCAATACCCTCACATTACAGCGAAAATTAATTGATATTATAAAGAAGTTGAGACTTTACCAAAGCAGCAAGGTAGCGGTTGCAAAATTCAGAGGTTAAAGCTTTCACTTTGTTTCGATTTGCAAAATACCAAAAAAGATATTTACAATCGAGGAAAGAAAACACATTTCGCTAAAGAATGCACTTCAGCCATTATCAAATTGTCAACCGAGCGAAACGCATAAAACCATACACATATACACAGCTGAATTCTATTCTTTTCAGCAGTTCCTGGTAAAAAAACCAAACCCCCTACAGAAAATCAACGAAAACAAACCCTGGTCGTATGACTCTTAGGCCTAGTCAAATGATCCTATTCCATATCCAAATGGGTTTTCTTAAAAAAACCAATCTCTCAGTTATCCTTTTCTTTTCTTCTTTCAAAAGTCAAATCAAGACCAAAGTTTCACAGATAATGTATACCCAGAAAAATAAAAAGCAAAATTAATGTATTTCAGAAATGGACATCGGGTCGATGTTGAACCTTTAAAATCTGTAAACCCAGCGAATCAAATGAGTAAAGAAAAAGAAATCGAAATCCTACTGTTCTGAATTCATTCTTCTGTTTGCTAATCTAAAGATGAAGGGAAAGTTATCATAATTTCACTATGCAAGATTTCGTTATGCCAGATTTCATTTGCAGGCACCAAAACACGCGCAAAATTAAAGTTGGGGTCTTCATACTCTATTGGGTATCTAAAGTCATGTGAAAGCTCGGAAATAACCAAACCAACATCCAATTTAGCACACATCTAAGAAAAGCTTAAGCAAGAAAATATATCCAACTGCTCAATCAATAATCAAACACGGTAATACAATCATTGAAAAAATTTCAATCATTTATCAAAATTGAATTAATAAAATTGAATGTTGGGGTCAAAATAAAAAAAAAATTAATTTAATTATAGTTAACTAATCAAGGTAAAGATTAATCAAAAAGCTTGAAAGTCTCATATCTAAAATTACACCTCAGGCTGCAAGTAGAATCAAAACCATGGAAGATCAAAACCACTAACCTTAAACACAGAGGTCTTCGTATGCTTCAAAGAAAAGTCACCAACTCGAAAAAACCCGATCTCCTAAAATCGAAAACAAAATCATATTAACCATCATCACCCAGAATCCAAAGCTCAACAGCTTGAATCAACGTTCGAATCATATATGACATCTTGTTTCAATTTCCATACATGAGTTCATTACATGCACAAATGCAGTGTTTGGTGTGTGAGAAAAACAAAAGAAAACCCTTTTGAAAAGGTTTTCTTTCATTGAACAGAAAGATGAAAGTAACATTTCACCACGACTATGTTAATTGAATACAAAATTATTTTTGTGATTATTAATTTAGTATGGATAAGGATTAAGGGTGGCCAGTACATGCAAACTTTCAAGCATGACTTTGTTGTCGGAGAGGTTATGTCATGGAACCAAGTTTTAGTTTTATAGATTATGCCATGCAACCAAGTTTTAGAAATACGTTAATCACACAAAAAAAATAAAAAAATCTAACCTGTTCTCAACCTTGGGCCTAGTGCTATATCGTTTCAACATTCAAAAAATATCGGCAAGGATCTGAGTCGGAACATAAGTGCTTAGAAACTCTCTATTGGTAGTAAGTTTTTGCGACGCTAAGTTGAAGGCCTAACTCTTGTTTAGTGCTGCATCATTTAGATAATCGTAGACCTAGTGTAAAAATTATTAAAAAAAAGAGAGGGATTTTCTCCCTGATTGTTGTGATAAGAATCACGCAAAGGCAATAGGAACCACTCCAATTCATAATAGCATTTCACTGAGTTCAATACTGTAATGGAAAAACGCAAGAATATAGAAACATAAAGTGAGGAAGCACACTTGCTATATTTCATGAAACCTCGCACAAAGTTACAGTTTTCAATCTAAAATGTTCCCAGATAAAAGAATCCAACAACCTAGTTTAGAAAAGAGCAAAACTTTCCTAGCATTATCTCAAATTTCCTACCGAATTTATCAGGCATCGTCTCTAAATCAAAATATAGAAGCAACCAGGAAATAAAACGACATCAAAAAAGAGCCCACCAATTTAATGAAGAATTCTCCAAAACTCGTAACTACCACTCTACCCTCTCCACAGCCATGAGCTTCCCTATTAGATGATAGGTTTGAGTTCGACCCTGAGGAGTTCAGTATTGAGAAGGGCAAGTGGGTGTTCAAAACCAAGATTTTAAAAAGCAATCTATCAACAGATGAGCAAAACAATAACTAAAAGAGCCTTCTAACACCCTTATCACATAAATACAGAAGCAACAAAGTATGGAGAAACAATCTAGTAACAGAAATACATAAGCAACCAAGATTTGCAAAAACAATCTATCAACAGAGGAGCAAAACAACAACTAAAACAGCCTTCTAACACCCTTATCACAAAAATATAGAAGCAACAAAGTATGGAGAAACAACCTAGTAACAGAGAGATATTCAAAGGATGTAAAGCAGAAAGGAACCTCAGTTTGATTTGTTGAGAAGGAAACAGGAGCAAAGCATGAAGAAACACAGAAATGAGCACAGTGTAACTCCCAAAGTTATAAAGACACAAACCTGACTCTAACAGTGCACGAAACAGTGCACTAACCAGATTGATCTTCCTAACACCCAACTAAACGGGCTATAAAATTCCTTTACAACTTGATTGAAACAATAAAATGTTAATCACAGTTTTAACAAAGCAAATGGCAAACCAAACAATAAACAATGATTTAAAAACAGTGTTTGAGCTGTTGAATCAGAGTACAAAACCTCTAAATATCCCTGCCACTCAATCAAATCATGCTTTCTGCCCTCTCTGTCTCACTCTCCATCCTGCTTTAAAAACATTGGACAAAATCCATAAATCTCTCCCGCAACCCCAGAAACTGCATGCAACCATGTCTTCCCCATTAATTGTTGCGGAAATGGCATCCAGCTGGAACCAAAATCCCGAAAGGAACCCTACCCCTAGCCCTCCCCACTCGCCTCGCCGTCTCTCTGCGCACCCTTTGTTGTCGACCCTTAAAACCAAACTCTCAGGCACCCCTACCCTTGATTCGCTCATCCTACCCCTCTCTCTCTCCTCCCGTCTTTCCTCACATCCCGTTTGAAACGCACGACTCTTCCCTCTCTCCTCTTCTCTCACCCACGACTCTTCCATCTCTACTCTACTCTCTGCCATTCTGCAAGCTACACTGGATGACTCACGGCATTCACCTCACCGCATTCCTATCCCTACCGAAACCAACCAAATAAAACCCAGCAGCCACAGGCCAAACCAGCAAAAGGCCATCTGCCCAAACCCAAAAAAAAATCCCTCAGGCCGAACCCAAAACTTCCACAAAGCCCACTCATTAAACCAATGGTATGGTTGTAATTAAACTGAAATTCAGGTGCATGAACAGTAAGGAACAGTGCCAATTGCAATGCTTTCTTTAGACTAAAGTAATTTGAGAAAATAATGTAGTCTTTGCAGATTGAAAACAACAATCAGAAAATGGATCCGAAAATATAAAGAACAAAAAGAACTAAGAGTTCACTCCTCCACAGTCCTTCAAATACTTAGTCTTGATTTTGGTGAGTGTGATTGCGACATCTTTCATGTTAATCCTCTCTCCCGGCAATGCTGCAGAGCAAGCTAAAGCTAATCTCATAACGGAGGATAAGCAATCCCTCCTGCTCACGAAATCACCATCTTCCTCCGCCCCCAGTATATCGGCATCCACAACTTCACCTATTGCAGCATCTGGAAATAATGAATCTGCAATCCATTGCTTTAAGTCCATTTCCCCAACAAACATCTCGTCTGTTGGCTTCCTTTTTGTGAATGTCTCCATGAGTACAATACCAAAACTATACACATCCCCTCTTGTCGAAACGCTTCCTTCCATCCCATACTCTGCAAAATTTGTATGTGAATTTAGTTATATATGATAAAAAGAAAATTATAACTCCTAATAAGACCAACATATACAAAATTGAGAAAATACATCACCTGGAGCCATATATCCAACTGTGGCTAGGGTCATTGTTTCTGTCATCGAATCTCCACCGCTGATGAGTCTTGCAATGCCAAAATCAGCAACATGTGCAACCATATCATCATCTAGTAGTATATTGCTTGGTTTCACGTCACAATGAACGATAGGTATCGAGTAACCATGATGAAGATATTCTAGTGCCAATGCAACATCTTTCATTATGTCTAACCTCTGCAGGATAGTCATGGAGCGGTTTGGAGAATACAACCACTTTTCGAGGCTTCCATTAGGCATCAATTGAAGTATCAGGGCTTTGAAATCAAGTTCATCGCAGCAACTTATGATTTTAATAAGATTCCGGTGACGGATGTTGCTTAGCATTTCACATTCCTTATCAAAACTCTTGAATGCCCCTTCTAGCTGTAAATTGAAAACCTTGACGGCGGTATCTATCCCGTCTGAAAGTGTTCCTCTATAGACTGAGCCAAAACCCCCCGTGCCTAGTAAGTTACTCTCATGAAATCCATTTGTTGCCCTTACAAGTTCTAGGCGCGAAACTCTTCTCCAAAGAACTTGATGTAGCGAGGCAGTTTCTCTAACAACTTCGACATTCCTTTTCTTGCATAGTATCATAATCAATGCAGCGGCCGCTAGGAGTATTACTGATATGACCCCTGAGATGATATATTTAGCTTTCCTCCAATTTGGCTTAACTTTTGTTCTATTTTTGCACAGTGGAACATGGAGTCGGGAAGCACCGCAGAGTGCACCATTTGAGACAAATGAATCAGCAGAGAAGTTTCCGAAAGGCCCGCCGGTTGGAATTTCTCCTTGGAGTTTGTTGAAAGACAAATTCAGATGCTTGAGATACAAGAGTGCTTCCAATGACTTTGGGATCTCTCCGGATAGATTGTTTTTGGACAAATCCAAGAATTCTAGGCTTAGCAAGGTTTTAAATGAACTGGGAATAGGGCCTTCTAAATAATTGTTTGCCAAGGACATATTAATCATATTTTGAAGACCACCAATGCTACCGGGAATGTTTCCGGAGAAATGGTTATTTGATAAATATATATCCACCACATCTTTCAACTTTCCGATGTCTTCTGAGAATGGTCCAACTAGAGAATTGGATGACAAGTCTAGTTGCAATATATGGTTGAGTTCCCACAAGGAAGATGGTATTTTAGAAGTTAACAAATTGGACCCTAACGATAGACTTCTTAGAGCTACTGACAAAGTACCCAAGCAGGAAGGAATAGAACCAGAGAGCCGATTACCACCCAAAAATAACTCAGCTAGGTTGTTTAGTTGACAGAGTTCATACGGGATATGTCCTTGCAGTTCGTTATCATTCAAATACAAACCTTGGAGATTTTGTAGCCTTTGTATTGAAGTTGGAATTGCTCCGCTCAACTGATTGTTTCCCAGGTGTAGCGACATCAAGCTGCTCAAGTTGCCAATATCAACAGGAATCTTACCCTTGATGTTGGAAGAGCTTAAACCAACATATAAGAGTGACGTAGAGAGATTCCCACGAGAAGCTGGAATCGTGGTGTTTAGTGGATTTTCTGACAAGCCTAAATCTGTCAAATTTCTAAGATTAAACAAGCAAGAGAGAGTGCTTGCTGCTTGTGCAGCAGAAGCATCAATCGTCAAATTATTCGAGTCCAAGTCAAGGTACTCGAGGTTTTTCAAGGAACAGAGTGTGATAGGAAGAAACCCGGTAAATGACTTTTCGCTCATTTCTAAATCCCAGAGCTTGGAAGCATTAGAGAGGCTAGGGAGAAGTCCGGCCACGAGGTTATTTTGGGCTACTTGAAGGATTTCTAGGTTCGGAACGTTAAGACCTATGTTTGCTGGGAGGCTACCTGAGAGGTGATTAAAAGAAAGCCCTATTTTTCTTATCGTGGAGAGATTGAAGAGTTTGGACGGGATGACACCATTGAGATTATTACCCTCCAGTGCCAAAATCTCTAACTGTGGAAGATCACCAATCTCATCCGGTATTGTACCTGTCACAATTTCAGCATGTTTGCATTAACTTTGTAACTTCAGTTTAAATAAAAACTAAAAACGAAATTATTGTAAAAAGCCCCTAAATTTATTACCTTCTAAATTATTTTCGTTAAGAAAAATCTTGCTTAAGTAGGTCAAATTGCCAAGACTTTTGGGTATGCTTCCACGGAAATTGTTATACTCAAGTGTGAATTTACGAAGCTCTTTGCATTGCCACAGTTTGGAGGGAATACGACCGTCAAACTGGTTTTGACCCAAATTAATTCGTTGAACACTCGAAAGATGCTCACATATATTGTCCGGAAGACTGCCACTCATGCTGTTCCCAAATAGAGCCAAATAGACAAAGAAGATATGTTGAGGACAGGCACAAAAGCAGAGCCTTTTAGGGCATTGTACTGCACATACAACTCCTCTAGCTGACCTAAACTGCCTATCTCGTTCGGAAGTTCTATAAAATCAATCCATGTATATTGTTAAAATCATGTATACATAGGAGCAGCTTCTTAGTGGGAATCCCGTTGTACCGTAGCAAAAGTGGGATACATTCTAAGGACCATGTGCTCACTATGTAGGACCTTTTTTTTGCTCTAGAATACGAGGGTCTTACACGGTAAATATACGATCCTACAATAGTCCTCTCATCTCATTTTTTGCCGAAGTTGAACAAGATCCCAGCTAAGAAGGGGCGTGTGTATATATGTGTGCGTGTGTGTGTGTGTGTGTGTGTGTGTGTAACAAAACCCAAGTCATACAGTATACCTTCGAACTTGTTGTCGTCAAGGTATATGCCCTTCACCATTGTTAAGTTGCCGATTTCTCTGGGTATGCTACCTGTTAAATATGTGCATGCGTGCCAACAAAAAAGAAGGGAAAAAAACAAACGAGATGATTGTTATACATTTTATAATATAGATGTTAAAATGTAACAAAGATGTTAAATGTAATGAAGCAAGCAACACTAATTTATATGCCTAGTACGTACGTACGTACCTGATAGTTGGTTACTGCTCAGATCAATTATTTCGAGTGCAGATAAGTTGAAGATAGCAGCGGGTATGAAACCAGAGAAACCATTACCCAACAATTTGAAGGTTTGAAGTTTAGGGAAGGACCCAAACCACGAAGGAATGGTTCCCATAAAGTTGTTGTTTTGAGAGTTAATCGCCTTCAACCGGCGCAAACGAGACAATTCTTGGGGTAGGGGACCATGAAAACTATTATTCTCAAGGCCCAACTCAACGAGAAATGAGAGGTTGCCTAGATGCGGAGGAATAACCCCGGCAAGACCCATGTACGAGAGATTTAAAGCCGTGACTCTGTGGTGGCGAGCGCTGCAAGTAACGCCAACCCAGTTGCAAATGTCGGAATTGGAGGCAAAGGACCAGTTGGCAGTCAAGATGTTTTGAGGGTCACTAGTGATGTGAGCTTTGAAAGCAAGAAGCGCAGACTGATCTGTGCTGAAATTGGTATGAGCTATTGCTAATGCACCTGCAGTTAAGTAATTAGCCATAATCACCATAAAGATATAACACAAGCAGTAGTGTATCATCGACAACATTTTCGACAATAGGAAATGGCTTCTCTCCTCCGTTTATACACACTATGTATATGCTCTCCTTAATTGTAGTAGTTTTCGTCTTTCGGCTTTAATTCAAGAGAAAACTTGAACTCATTACATTCAAATAATATAAACTCATTACATTCAAATAATATAGCCAAACAAGTTGGTGTTACCAAGACTTAATGCACGACTTAGACTTGCCCGGCTTCGACGTTGAAGTAAGGAGGACTTAGACCTAACTTATTCCACTAAAGTTCCACTATCTGGTGTGCACTAATTGCTCTACCAACTTAAACTTTATTTGATCCCATATAATCCCTCTCTACACCCAACTTAAACTTTAAATGTGAATTATCTTTTATACCTTATTACTTAATTACCATTAAGTACAAGCTGAAATTAATAAAACTAAAATTTATTAATAAACCCACAACCAATAATCAAACCCTAACATAGAGAAAAACAAGCTCTTTTTGAACATGATCAAACTAAAGTATGAATCGATTTATCCAAGTTTGATTTCAATTTTTTTTTAGGATTTAGGACAAAATCAGCGCCTTTTCCAAAGTATAATTACCAGTAGAACATATATGGGATTTTAAATTTTTAAGTCTGGCTACTTGTGTGAATGTCACACTTTCTTTTCGTTTCATTCGTGAAGGGTGGAGGCCATACTGTGCTTGTAGTTTTGATGGCAGTGCATAGCAGCAATATAGTGACAGTCTTGAATTTGAAGGTGTTGAGTTCCTTCTATCTGGTGAAACAAATGTATAGTCTCCAAAAGCTTCCCCTTCTTCCTCTTGTTTCAATCATTATTATTTTTTCATAATTTAATTCGGTTGTTGGATGTTGAAAATATTTTAATTTCATGAAAATATAGGAACGTGAGGTTCAAGCAAGCATAGAAAATATGCCTTCATTTTTAGAGGTGAATTTTTTCTCTTGATTATCAAAACATAATCTTGTTTTGATTATGAGATTATTAGGTACCGTTATAGTCATGTAATGTGTGCCTTTACTTCGCTGCAAATTGGTGTAGGCATTGGAAGGCTATTACCCCTCAGCTGGTGAGACTTCATGAAATGCTTAGAGTGGAACACAGAGTATGAGATAATCTTCGTCTCCTTCAACTGTGATGAGGAAAAATTCAATGAACACTTCAAGTGAATGTTGTGGCTGGCAGTGTCATTCGATGCTAATCTTTCTCAAAAGATTGAGTGATGTGTACCGCTTAGAAGGAGTGGCAGAATATTGATTTTGAGTTTTTATTTTCTAAATGGATGTAAAGATAAATTTATAGAAAACTTCATTTTAATCCTTAAAAAAGATTAGTGTTAGACTATAACCTTGTGTAAGATTAAAACCCAATTTTAGTCCCTACTACATTTAATCATCTCATTTATTAGTTATATTTTTATTTTTTTTATCTTTTTATTTTTATTTTAATGTATTAATCACATTTAAATTTTATTTTATTTCATTCATCATAATATATTTTAATATCTACATTTAGGCAACTAATTTTTTTTTATAATATATATTCCGATAACAATTTTGTATGCTTCATTTAGGTACATTAATACATTTGAATATTTCGGTATATCCATCGATACAAACATATAGGTACATTAATTCAATATAATGTATTTCGGTACGTACATTTTGGTACACATATTTGAGTATTGACTTTTAGGTACATTAATTCAATATACTATATTTTGGTACATACATTTCAGCATTGACATTTAGGTACATTAATTCAATATAATACATTTCGGTACATACATTTAGGTTCAATATAATATATTTCGGTATAATCATATAGGTACAAATATTTTGGTGCAAAAAAAGTCAATTTTATATATTTTAGCAAAGTCATTTCTATACACTTATGTATTTATATATTTTTGTATCACAAATTTCTTTTAATATTTCTCATTTATGTTCATTTATAATTAAAGAACTAAATATGTGCATATTAATAAAATTAAAATTTAATGTGGAGAGATTAAATAAAAATACACATTAAATAACAAAAATGAATATAAATTTTGATAAAACCTGCACTTCAAAGGATTAAATTGAATATGTAATCTAGCACCTGGTTTTTTTTTTTAATTTTAATCTTTTGCAAGGACTAATGTTGAAAAACCCCATAAAATATATATTCAATTGGATTTGTGAGGGTAGTTTAGGTAGTAAATTGGGTCTAAAAAGATATTGGTAGTTTAATTAAAAGTAATAATTTTAGTAGCCCACGCACCAAATAATTCATGATTCCGCAATTACTACCAACTCCACTAATTGCTTGCTCTACCATCAGCACTTATTGTTCCACCACCTATCAGCACTAATTGCTCCACTAATGTAGGCAAATGATTACATTACAAGAAACCCAAAACTGATACTTTCTTAATAATATGCGCTGCTAGCCGACGAGTTCTATCCATTTTGTGCACATAGTTCGAGATGCGCATATGTGGAATCGTAGTCTTCTGTTCACACTTGACACACCTCGACTCAGAATATCCATCTGGATTCCGAATCGAACTGTGCTGGCCAACACCAGGAAGGTGACGAAGTCAGAGAGTAGTGATGTGAAAAATGTGAATAAATTTAAAACTAAAAGTGCCTAAATGTACGAAAGTTCAGCTACTAAAACCTAGAGGGGCGAAAAACAAAAGTGGGCCTAAAAAATAAGCTTTGTAAAAACTTTTTCGAAAACATAATAACCCCTCTCCGTAAAACAAGTATAGTTTTCAAAATATACATACTACGTATAGTGTGAAAATACTTATCGTAGCCTGCAATATCTCGCAAATTTAATAAGTCACAATATTTTGTAAATAAATGCCTAACGTTCAGTATCATGTAACCTCGCATAAACTAACATATCATAACGAGTGCTCATTGACACACAAGTTCATGCAGAGATATTCTGACATGCACAAGACATGATTTACACTCTAGTACTACAATCACGTGAAGACAGGCGCTTTGCGCATCACATACGAGTCCTAATTGCCTATAGAAATTTAGGACATAACTGGCACCTACAATGGATCCAAAGTGAATGTATGGTGCAATGTGAACATACACGTGAAAGACTGGCCTTGGTCCGGATGAGTACTAACACCAGTACAGCACACGATGACCAGATAACGTAAATAAAATTATATAGTGGTAAATCAATAATTCACGTCACCATAACACCATTCATGACCATAAATATAATTAAGGCATCAATAATAATACGCATACCAATACATCCCGTAGGACGTAGCATAACTTCATAATTTCTATCAATGCGCTAAATCTTATAAACGTCACACTAATCTTGGCAAATTGTAGAAAACTCTTTAGGAAATGTATAATTGGAAACTAACAATTATATATATTATATAAAAGAAAAGACCCACTCACTGATACTCGCGAGATCGTAGCTGCTCAAACTAGAAAACCCGGAGTCTCTGGTGGTAATTGCACCTTTTTTTTAATGTTTTTGTTTTTTCTTTAATCTAATTCTTTTCTGAGAAATGAAACAATGAATATTACGGATAATACAGGAAGTTCATTAACAAATGCATCGATTATATTTTCCAGAAACCGAAATGCATTAACTCAAGGGAGTTGTTTTTTGCCACACGTCAAATGCTTATTAGTGGTGAATATGTGTCCACTTTTTACTAGAAATTGTACCCTTGCGTTGCTGCGGGATGGAAAACTGTATGAAAAATTATGCAACTTTATTATCTCCATAAGACAAATGCAACAGAAGTAAATTTTTTATAATTAGATAATAGAATAAAAAATATCAATGTCGCAAAGTAAATGTAAGTGGTGAGAGAAGCTATCCTAATTATAACCCTATTCATTTTTATTCAACACAGACTTGAACAAAGAAGCAATCATTTCTACTTTGGTGATTGAGCATGAACTTTAGCTCGGTAATTAGGGCCATTTCCTCGAACTGGCTCCCAACAAAATCTCCAACTTAAAAAAACATATGATATGATACACAACAAACTTTCTAGGTGACAACAAATAAATGTTGCTATTCCGGACACAATAGTGTAATATTATGGAATAGAATATGATTTAAAAAAGGAGTTACCGCTAACCCATTGTCTGTCTTCCTTTCGAGTATTCCTTCCCAAAGTTCCCATACTATGTTCTCAAACTGCTGCTCTTTCCAATTTCTATAACATCTTTAAAATTCATTTTAAAAAATAGATACATAAATAAAGACGCTTAAAAGCAGGTAAGTAAACATTTTAATGAAGAGGAAATGAAGAAGTAGAACCAACTAAGCCACAGTCCAACTTTCACAATTTAACATTAGACTTCCTGAGGTTTGCAGAGACAAAATCTGAAATAATTTACCAAATTAATAAGCCATTAGTTGGACTATGGCGGTAATCATAGCATATATTACCACCACATTAAACCGAACATTTGTAAACAAAATATGCAACGCGAATAAGCTCACAGAAAAACCTACCAAAAACAGCAAGATGTCATTTAATTGTGAAATAAAACAATAATACTATAACAATAAGTTATTGAAGACCCATATCTATTTATTTCACCCAAAATGATTAGAAAGAAAATTTATGTGCAAAAAAATCACTAACCTAAAAAATTCAACCCCTAACATTACTGGAATTAATTGATGTGAAAAAAAATAAAAAACTGAAAATTGAGAATTGGGTTTTAGGATTTTACCGATAAATCATTGGAGTAGTGACAAACTCCTATGCTTCCTCTTCCTCTTTCTCTAATTAAATTTTAGTTTTCTATTGAAGTGGTGTTAAGTTTAAATAAATGAAAATAAATGTCAAAAAGGAAGATTGCTTGTTCGATGTTGTGCCTTGCTTTCCATTCGGATCCTTCTCTTTCTCCTCCTTGGAGACTCTGATTCGAGTAAAATCAAACATGTTTTGTAGAGTTTGAAAACCCGCAGCTTGAATGTCTAAAAGAATGTCCATATCCATTACTTATAAAATAATTTTCCAAGTACAAAAAAAAAAAAAAATCTTTTGTATGCCTATTACCTTGGCTGGACCCAAAATAGATTGAAAATTTAATTTTGACAGATAATTTTCTTGCTGAAAAACTTTGTGATCTGCAAAACCAAATAACATTTTTCAACAAAAAAGAACTAATTTAACAAAGCAAATACAGTATACAAAAACAGCTATTCAATTTAGCTTCATTTAGAATACAGGAAATCCATTCAAAACGACCAAAAGGATAAAAATATAGAAGAACCAACCTTTTTGAAATGGTTCCATCGTACGTTCAATAACTTTAGAATGAACCAAATTATCTGAAATAAAAACAAACTCCATTAACTAAATCAGAAGAAAACCAATACAGATTAACAGAGAAAAACGCATTCACACACATGCATAATACAATACATGCATATACAATATAATATTAAATGACATACCTTGATGGCCTGTTGATCTGTGACCTTGTTTCTAGAAGAAGAGCAGAAGGAAACAGTTCTAACGATGTGGTAGTACAAACTTCTGAGTGGGAACTGAAATTAGAAAAATGTAAATTTCAAACCATTTAGAAGTCCCAAATCACAAAAGCCCCAAATTTAAACAAATTAAAGCCACCTGGATGTACAACCCGAAGAACTCACCGGAAAGCCCTAGCTTCTCTGCCTAAAAAATTCCTTTAAATCAAACCGAAAAATCTGAGGATGGTTACCTGAATTCAATAAAAATTAAAATCTAATGAATTTACTCTTAACCATGGTTTTTTCAAGAATAAGAAAAACCTAAAAATATCCCAAACGATCCCAAATTTTGGAACTGCTTTAAACCAACCTGCCCTGAAATTATAGCCGCTTGAGAAATCTTCTTCAAATCAGAACGGAAGAGGCAGCACGCGCAGTCTGTTTCTGTTGTGCCTCTAATGTTGCTTCACCTTTCTCCCTTGCTTCTTCACATGTTTCCATCCCTGAACTGCACTTGTCTGCTTCCTTTTGATACTGGGATGCAATCTTCTTAGCCTAAAGCAGAGCCATTAGTGAGTTTTAAATACAAACTGGTCCTTGCACATATGTTTAGAATGACATCGGTAAAAAAATTCAACGTGATTTTTATTTAAAGGAACAATGTAAAATTCAAAAGCTTATTCCCTTCAAATGACGTATATTAAACTCAGAGAAAATTGTACAATTGGTTCCACAATTTCATTCCAATTAGAGCAATCGTACCTTAACTAAAAATTCATGACCATTAATCCCTTAACTCATCAAAACGTGCAGGTATGGTCATTTTCATTGACTCCGTCAGAATTTCATCAAAATGAGTTATGTTGAAAGAATCATTACTACAATTGGGTCGCATTAATCATGGTTCTTAAAATGGTATGTTATCATTTAATTAATGCAAACATTGTTTTCTCAACACTTTTAACATTTTGTCATCATCACAAAGGAATTAGCCTGATTTTTGACAACTTTGATATTTCCAATTTGGTGGATCTACTTTATCAAGACATTTCAACATAGTTAAGATCTATGCACAGCTTTTAAATTAGTTTCCAAAAAGAAAAGTAACGCCTCATTTCGAATTTTGTTATCTAAATCTTACCCTCAAGCAATTTAAAACTTGTAAAGATGCCCAAACTGTAGTGATCCCCTGCAAAAGAAACCGGCAAACAAAGAAAAAAGAACAAACGATGAGCAATAAAACTCACAGACCATAATACACAAAATTCCCTATAACATAAATTGATAAAGCATTTTACCCGATCCAATTGAATTCCTGATCACAACACATAAGATAAACTAATAAACCATTTTATCCAAATAACCATTTAATTTTAAACATTTCAAACCGAAGAGAACCAAATGTGCATATTTGGAAGAAAAAAAAAATGGAGTGTTTTGAGTATCTAAATCTCACCCTAAACACTTTAAAAATATAGCGGTCCCAATGGAAAGAGAACTTGCAAAACGGCGTCCCAGCACAGACACAACATATTAAACAAACGCACGAAGACAAAAAAAAAATTAAAAAACCGACAATGAACGACAAAATTCAGAAATCCCAGGACATAAAATCGAAAACGACATAAAAATTAGTAATAAAAGTTATGAAAAAACAGACACCACTTGACACCAAATGGCTTGACGCCAACGATAACCCCATAGGCAAGCAAAATCGCAAACCAGTTAAGAAAAAATTAAGAGTCCATTCCTCTATCATATTCTTTTCCCCTGTTTTACTACCCCTAATCCCAAATGTGTCTTCGATGCTCTTTGTCCCTTTTTTCTGTCACCCTAATATCTCACCGGTAAAATCTCAACGCTGCTGCGTTCCCTGTTACATCCACCCCTAAATTAAATTGTATTTTCACTAAGTTTGAAAGCATCTTGCTTTTAAAATTATTTTTGGGTCTTAAATAGTGTGCCCAAGGGGCCCACCCCTGTTTTGTCCCCGATTCCCTTCCCATTTTTCTTCTTTTTCTGATTTTTACAACTCTCTCTCCGCTCCTCTCCGATACACCATCCACACCCACACCCAGTTACACACGCACACCCTAGGGCCCTCCCAAGCAAGAACTTGAACCCAAGATAGGTCCATGGTGCACCACAGTGGCGGAGACCACTGATCTCTTCCTCCCTCGTCGAGCTCCGGCGAGTCCGACGGCTTTCGAGCCAATTTCCGGCTAAACCACGACAAGTTGGCCGGCGTGCAAGGTATCAATCTCTTCGTCTCGCTGAGTAGTATAACTTTCCTTTTTGTTTCACCCAATTTCGTTGAGTATTGAAGAAGTTATATCCATTTGAATCTTACCCAGTTTCCGGCGACCTCCGCGGCTTTCGAGGTGTTTTTCGGCCAAACCACGGCGAGTTAAATGTCGTGTGAGGTACCATTCTCTTCGTCTCTTCGAGAACTATAACTTTCGTTTTTGTTTCACTCAATTTCGTTGAGTATTAACAAAGTTATTGATGTTTAAAGGTTGCCCAGAAATTCTGGCGGAAAGCCCAGTTTTCTCGGCGAACCCGTATTTTCCAGGCCATTTTCCAGCCAACTCCGGCCACGATGACGGGAACCAAGGGTATATTTCGATTCCTTACCTTCGGGGCTTCAATTTGGTATATTGAATGGCATGTTTTGGTTGAGTTTTGAGCTCCATCAGAGCTTGGGAATTCTCCGGCCGAAATCCTGCCTTCTCCTCCCTTTGAATCTAGCGACCCACCAAACCCAAGCCCTTTGGGCCTTCCCTGCCGAGCCCAACCCAAACCCATTTCTCTTTTTATTTTGTTTAGGCCTTTGGGCCTAGAACCCTCCATCCCTTTTTATTTTCTGTTTTATTTATTTTTGGTTTTAAAAGCCTTTGGGCCTTATATGTTAAAAACCTAAACTTAACCCACTTAAAAATCTAAGCCTAAACCCTTTAACCCTTCCAACCCTAAATCCTAGCCGGCTCAAACCTTTTTGTGGAATATTCCATTAGGGAATATTCCATCAGAGAATATTCCGTCAGGGAATATTCTTTGGAATATTCTATTGACGTTTACGAAATTATCCGAGGCCCTTCTTAGGGTAATTCGACGTCCCGAATCTGTTTTTGACGTCCGTTTTCCCAAATTCAATTGCTATAATAGAGTTTTATTAATTGGACCCTAAATGTGCTATTTATATGCTTAGGGGCAATTATTGTGACGCTTCCGTCTTCGCTAGTGGCGCAGTTTTTGGCGGCTAAGTACTGTGAGTGGACCTCTTTCTAAAATTACATGATTTGATAATTTAATTGCATAAATGAATAGCATGCCTTACGAGTTTACGATTTGATTTATGATAAGCATGTTTATTGAATATATTGATTTTCGTCTCGTGTTTTTGGAGAGAAATCAATTGTTGGCCTATATTGAGCTATATTTTAACATATCGTATTTTCTATAAAAACCATGAACTGGTAGACTATCTGATAGATGACGATAGGATGCTAGAACATGTTTTTGAAACCCTTTTTATAGTATAAACGATTATCGGTATTTATACTATAAAGTGGTTATTTATGAGAGGCGTAACTATTTATGCGTACCTAGTGGACACTATGCCGCCTGGGGCGAGGATTTGGTGTTGGCATTTAAGCCGGGAGAAATAATCCCTAGCTACGGGCTGAGGGACATGAAAAGGCATTGCGCCGGGAGTTGGTAATCTCTGGCTACAGGTGCAGAGACCACGGAGTAGGCATTGGGCCGGGAGTTATATTTATCAGTGATCTTACTAGCAGCACACCACGCTTACGAGACGATTTATGAGACGTTTACTGTTTTGATTTATGCGATGATATTCCGCTATATGGCTTTTGACATATTTTTGGCATGCTAGGATTTTTATTAAATCCATCACTTATTATGCTAGTAGTTTTCATTATTAAGCTGTAGGGGTTAGTATCTTGATAACTGTTTTATTATTATATATATATGAATTTGGTCCACTCACCTTTGTTTTGCGTCCCCATTCAGGACTTAGAATCAAGGCACCTAATTCCGGCGTCAAGACACTTCCGCAGCAGCATCTTTGAATCCTCTCGATGTAGGATCCACTTCTTTATTCATTCAATTTCATCTTAATTCTTTTTAGTGACTAAATTTAGTTGTATACTCTGAACACGTTCCTAAATTGTTAGTTCATTGTATTTAAATTCATAACCCGTATTTGTTTCTTATTCTTAGCTTTTGTATCAATTAATGGCTTTCGTCACCCTCGGGTGTTGGCCAGCACGTGTCTATCCTGGTATTCGGGGAATATCAGGGTCGGGGCGTGTCATTCCCCCCGCCAACAAACCCTCAACACCCTGTAATGCTATTTTCTTCCAAATCTATAACAAAAAATGCATGCATAAACACGGTAGAAATTTGCGAAAACCCACAACACAACCTAACTAAAAATCTCACAGATCAAAAGTTTCACCCAAAAGAACCCCCCATCTCTCTTATCAAATGAAAACTCCAAAAGCAATTCAATGGTTGCTAACAACCCATTTAAAATTGAACCCAAAAAAATTAAAAGCTTCTCCCACATTGATTAGTCATTCATTCGGCACCTGCATTTTACTAAAAAATTTCTTGATGAGGGCAAAGCTAGGAGTCTCAATTTCAAAATCCAAATCAAAAAATAAAACAAAATTGAATGAACTACGAAGAAAATTTATTCTCCAATAGAAAACTCAGCGTTACACAAAATCATTGAATTGGAATGAAACTAATGAGATTAAATTGAACAAAACCTAACTCAATTGAAGCCATTCTGTGAAAATCTTCCGAATCAAATTAATAAAACAAAAATAAAAAATTTTAAGAGTTAGAAATAAGAAGAAAGCATTTTAAAGCAGGCAAAAAAGACGGACACAGAGCATCAACTAAGAGCAGATTTCCTCCAGACTTGCTTAAGAAGTGGAGTACAGATTGTCTTCTAATGCAAAACCATAAAGTGAGTTCTAATCTAAAGGCTCCTACCTTAAAATTAGACGTATTTATCAAATATATCAATTAATAATCCTCAAGCATGTAATTATCCAAAATAGTCAAATGGGAAACCATTTACTTGGTCAAATCTTATAATTGCTCAGTTTGTTTTTTGCTTTCCAAAGGCAAACCGCTTAGAAACATATATCATAATCTTCGGTTGAGAAAATCAGTTTGTTTTATGGTGTTTTCACTATTTTCAAAATCAATATCAAATTTTGTAAGGAAGAGAAAAGAATTTACCTTTGGGAAAGTCTGAACGGTTGCGGCTGTTGGTAGAATCGAACTGAGATTCAACTTATGAAGACTTTAAGCCACAATTGTTCTTTCTTAACCTTAGCTACTTCAGCTACATAACCCGAAAAAAAAAAAAAATTTGATTATAGTTAACTAATCTGGGTTAACATTAATCAAAAAGCTTGGAAATTTCAGATCAAAAATCACACCTCAGGCTGCAAGTAGAACCAAAACTATGGAATTTCAAAACCACTCACATTAAACACAGAGGTCTTCGCAGGCTTCAAACAAAAATCATAAACTCGAAAACCCGATCTCCTGAAATCGAAAACAAGGCCAAATTAACCATCATCACCCAGAAGCCGAAGCTACAATCAAAATTCCCAAAATCAGAACCAAAAAATTTGAACAAAAACATTTAAAATCCAAACTTACACTCGCAAGCACACAACATTCAAGGCAAACAATTACCCAAATCAAATCGGCAGCAGGAGATGCAATCTTTTATGGGCTTCAAATTTTCTTCAAATCGAGACCAAATTCGCTATTTTTCAGCAAGAGAGCGTTGCCGTTTGTAACCCGCGATTAAAAGATCTAAACCAATTTGACTAACTTGAGCGTTTTCTGGAAGAAAGGAAGGCACAGAGAGAAGCGGAGATAGGAGAGAAGGCAAAGAGAGGTTTGAGAGAAACAAAAGTTTTCTGAGGGTAAATAGGAAGATAGTAACTCAAGTGCCAATATGTGAAATATAAAAAGAAGAAACCCAGGTGTCATGTGCCATTCGTGGGGAACACCAACTATCTTGACACACTTCGACCCAGAATGTCCACTAGGACCCCAAATTGAGTCGTGTTGGACGACACCTGGAAGGTGACGAAGCCATAAAGTGTGATAATGTATAAAATGTGAATAAATTAAAATCTAAAAGTGCATAAGTACACGAGTGCGCAGTGAGCAGGTCTGGACCCATTTCAAGCGTGATACAGAGCATAAGTAAAGTACATTAAGATAAAATAATGACTATACCATCAAAGGATTCCACCTATACTGGGAAGTGTCACGAATCTTTGTCGATACGGAAACCTTACTGCTAGAACCTGGAGGGGTACAAAAACAGAAAATGTGAGTGAGTGAAACAAAACTCTTCAAACCAATTCCAACTACCAAAGATAGTAGCCCTTCGCCGTAATACCTGCTTAATTTCTCAGAAAATAACAGGTGTGACTATAAATCAAAACCATAACCAAAATGATAGTCTTATGGTTATGCTATGTCAAATATCTTAACAGGAATGAGTAACCCAGGTGAATTAAACCAATAGGAAATGACATGTTAGCCGGATCCACCCATCATGTACGGTTGAATCAATATCTCATCCCATATATGCTTGCATCTCATCACATATCTCATCATAAATATATACTAGCATCTCATCACATATCATCACATATATGCTAGCATGTCATCACATATCTCATCATAAATATATGGTAGCATTTCATCACATATCTCATTATAAATATATACTAGCATCTCATCATAAATATATACTAGCATCTCATCATATATGCTAGCTCGTAACATATCTCATCATAAATATATGCTAGCATCTCATCACATATCTCATCATAAATATATACTAACATCTCATCATAAATGCTAGCTCGTAACATATCTCATTATATATATATGCTAGCATTTCATTACATATCTCATCATAAATATATGCTAGCATCTCATCACATATCTCATCATAAATATATACTAGCATCTCATCATAAATGCTAGCTCTTAACATATCTCATCATATATATATGCTAGCATTTCATTACATATCTCATCATAAATATATGCTAGCATTTCATCACATATCTCATCATAAATATATGCTAGCATCTCATTACATATATGCTAACTCATAAGTCGGAGTCACCTGTAATGACCTGTATGACTTATCCATATCTCATCAATCATTGCTAGCATATAAGTTGGAGTCACCTATAGCGACCTGTATGACATATTCATATCTCATCGCATATGCAAATGATATGTCAGCCGGATGCACCTCTTGTGGCTTGTATGGCTAAGTCTATAGCTCATATCTCAATCTAGCCGAAGTCACCTCTAGTGACCTATACGGCACTACGCACGCACACGAGTCGGAACCACTGTAGTGGTCTGTACGACAAGACTGGGTGTAAATGAATACGCTCAAGTGCTACAATCACGTGAAGAGTCACCTACGAGTCGGAACCACCTATAGTGGTCTGTACGACAGACATGTGCACCTACCTTGAATTCAAGGTGAGCGTATGGTGCAAAAGGTGAACATTACGTGAAAGACTGTGCCCTAGCCACGAGTGGGAGCACTAACACCGGGGTGCAGGTTTATGAGCTTTAAATCCATCTAATACCACATGTACGACTCATAAGCAACATGTACGACAATGTCGGAGTTGCTTACTATTGCAACCTGTACGACCGTGTCGGAGTTACTTAAAACATAAATGTAGTCATACCATAACCTCATCAGTTCGACTAATACCGTATACTTACCTGAACTTACCTGTGTGTCCTGCGTTCATTCTTGAACTCCAGAGCGTTCACAATAATTATGTGCAAGAATATACATATGGATATATCATGATGTAAATTTGAATTTCAACCATATCATAATATTTCCAGATATATAAACACATAAACAAATGGCTTAAAATGCAATAACTGTAACGCCCCACTCTCGAACCATTTACCTTTGGGAATAATTATCGGTGATAAGCCCAATTAGACACTAGTTTAATTAACTAACATTACTTATGTTTCCTTACTTCAATTCCTTGATTCTTCACACATTGATTTATGAACAACAATTAACTACCAAATCATAAGGTTAATTCTCACATTTTCCACCAATGTCCCTCACATTATTCAATTCCCCAAACAAGGCTATTGTCCCAATTATTTAGTCTCATTTATTAAATGACTGCATCTAACGTCTTGTTAGACTGCCTACGTACCCTAAACAGGGATCAAGTCATTTGTAGTTCGCATTAGTACTTCAAAGCATTGACAATAATTATATGAAATATTCAATTTATAAATGTTTGAGGAGATGTCAATCTTATACATACATACATACATATATATATATATATATCCGCGCTACGACTCCTTCACAGGAATGTCGAGACATCACGACCTATCGCCGCTTGTGGCCAAGTATCAAATCACGTCTCAGAGTTCTTACCGATAGAATACCTAATTTACATAAAACATATCCTCAAGGACCTTTAAGAATAATTTGAGACCCATTGACCAAGAGTCAACCGTCGATCTTCGATCGACGGTTGGGTCCACAACCCTGTATAACTCGATCCGGAAGATCCGCACATCAGATTTCCAATCCGCAATTTCCAAAGATCTACATTATGCTTCTAAAATAACATACTAAAATTTCATTACGATCCAACGGTCGGATCTCCGCCAATTGTCCAAAACCAAGTGGCGGTTAACATTTATTTTATAAACTTACTGATAGGAGCATATTTATGCGACTTAATTAGCTTGTTTTCTTGCATTTATGTTGTTAGTTCCTAGTTATTTTAGTATTTTAAGCTATTTTCGTGTGTTTGTAGGTTTAAAGGGCTAAAGTGGCAAGAAAGTGCATTTGGTGCATTTTGGGCTTGGAATGGATAGCACATGCATGGAGCAAGGTGGATAGACGAATTTGAAGACCAAAAGAGGCTAGGATTATGTTGAAGTTACGAAGAAATTAATTCAAGAAAAGGAAGTAAAGGATGCAAGCAAGAAAGAAAGAATGTTAGCCAAAGTTACCTTATTTTGTCCTAAACTTTCCTAATCCTTCACCACTTAATTTCTAGCTGCAAGGAGGATCTCTAATTATTTTAGAACACTAAATAAATGATCCTAGAAGACCTAATCCCAGTCAAAGAAGGTTACCGCACCAAATCTGCAAGGAATATTTCCTTGCCGTGCAAGGAAGTCACATTCCCCTTTCTTTCTAGGCTTGCCGCAAATCACTTACCCTTTTCCTCTTGGGATTCTGATTTGTTACCCTTAAACCCTTCCCAATTTAATTCCCAGCTGTGCCCCTTCCTTCTCCTATAAATAAAGGACCTTGCCGCACCATTCAAACCATCCATTCACTACCATTCATACTTTCAGCCATCCTTTCATATAATTCATCACTCAAACCTTCACCCACACCTTGTGCCATAGCAAAGAAGAAGAAGGAGGATCATTGGACGTGCTTGCCATTCAAGTTGGATTGCTGGAACATTCTTAGGTGTAATCCATCTTTTGTTTTCAATGTTTAAGTTTAATTATCTTTGTTTTGCGAACATGAGGAGCTAAACTCGTTTTAGTTAGGGGAAAATTCAAAGCCATGAATATATTTGCAATATGAATTGATTACTTCCAATTGTGATTTCATAAATCGTGAATGCAATTTACTTAACTGTTTGATTCAGAACTTATTCTTGTGTGTTGATTAAGGATTCATACTTAGTTTGCATGCATGAATTTGATGCTAGAATATAAGGGAGTTTCACCTAATTGTTATGAACTTATATTCGTAAGTAGTGGAGGTTGCTAGTCACAATTATGTTAAGTAGATTCCTGGCAGGAGTATCATGCTGTTCATAGTTACGAATGCCTTGTCAATGCTTATAATTTTCACAAAGCTTAATGATCTTTGATTGTATCTCTATTATGTTGTTCATGCAGAGGACTATTGAAGAATAATTTGGTTGCCGATGCATTGTCCATCCAATTCAATGACTTAAGGAAAATCTGAGGGTTAATTAGTGCTGTTCACGGTTAATCTGGGGCGTTGAGGTTCATGGTTTATTGAAAAAGCAACTGGAAATCGATTTGTGTGCAAGTGTGTCAAGTGTGGAGAATAACCCTCTAGCTAGCCAATCACCCATATTTTCCCCCAAATTCGTGCTAAACTTGTTTAAGTTTTTAAGTTACTTGTCTATACTTTAAATTCGTCGAAAACTCAATCCCCTTTACTTTATTGTGTCAAATTAGTTATAATATGTCCAAACTTGTGTTTTTAAGTGTTTTGAGTCAAGTTAAAATCAATTTTCGCCCAAATCACCCTCTAGTGTCTAGTTTGAGTCTATTTGATTGTGTTGTGTTGTTTTGAGTCTTTTTAGTTTGTTTTGAGTTCTTTAAGTCTAGTTAAGTGTTTTCAAGCCTAGTTTTGTGTTTTTAAGTCAGTTTTAAGTAGATTAGCAATCCCTCCTAATCCCCGGTCTAGAACGATCCCTACTTACATCTTTACTACAATTGTCAATAAGAGAGTTTAATTTGAGTGCTAGTTTATGTCACATCACTTACAAATCCAATTCGGGAAAATCCGTACGTCGGATTCCCGATCTGTAAGTTCCTATGATCCTCAAATATTATGCATTATAACATATTAAAGTTTGGTGACGATCCAACGGTCGGATCGTCAACTCATATAATGACCTATTAACGTATCGAAATGAAACTAAGTCCAGACAATCAATTTACGTTATGCGGATATTAAACATGAACTCAGGGAATCTACTAGTGTTTAAAAGACATCATCGGCCCATAGGCCACGCGTCGCCGCTCGCGCCGCCACGGGTGGCGGTCGGCCGCCCAGACTTGCCAGAAAATTCAACTATTTTTAAAAATTCTCAAAAATTACAAAATTGAAGA